AGGCTGACAAGGTAAGGGCAAGTTCGTTATGTTGAATATCTTATTCCCAAGATATAATTTTGATGATAATAATTTATTTACTATGTGTATTATATATGCACTAATATATCAATGTAGATAACAACATCTGATATGCTCAAGATATGTGAACTAAGTGCATGATGAGTTCAAGGCAACAAGACAAGCAAAAAAGAAGATATGCTTAATTGTAAATTTTATATTTTCTTTGCTTAGAATTTTGTACAAGCCTTGATCACTCATAACACATACACGCACATAGTATTTAGAACACACTAACACATGCTTAGTGTGTAGATAACTATAGAAATCCCCTAAGTTGACCATTAAAGTTTATAGATATAGAATGATTTTTAAAACATATCATATGTCTCATATCTATGTATTAGTAGTCAACTAATACCCTTAGTAGTCGACTACTCAAGCCTTAGTCAAAGTTACTGAAACTATGAGTTTACAGATTAGTCGACTGTTATGCTTAATAGTCGACTACTCATTCAGTTCAAACTTACAAAAACTTTAGTCTTGCATATTAGTCGACTAATACCATTAGTAGTCGACTACTAACCAACTTTCTGACTTTACAGAGTCTGAATAGACTCAATATAGTTGATAGTTTTTCTAACTGTTCTAAATTTGAATAAGTGAACATTTATAGCATTTTAAAACGTTAGTTGGGTTTAAAATTTGAGATTTTCAGAGCCTATAAATAGGTGTTAACTTTAGAATTTGCTCACCAACTTTCATATACATAAGATTTGAAATTTGTGCAAATTCATGCTCTCTTGATTCAAATTTTCATTCGAAGTGTTAAGAAAAGAATGTCCTGAGATTGCCTTTGTTCCCCATCATTATTAAAAATTGTTTAGGCAATCATCACATCAAGTCTTATAGGAATTTGTACAGTTCTTCAAAGAAGGTTTCTCTCTGGTGTGAGAGAAGATCTCTTAGTGTAGAGATTGATATTGCAATTTACAGAGACTTACAAATTGGTCAGGTTTATTTTGTAATTGGTTTTAAAACCATAGTCGAAATCTCAAGCGTGATTTTCTTGGGGACTAGATATACACCCAGGGTAGTGGAACCAGTATAAATCTCTTATTTGTGATTGTTTAATTTCTATGATTATTATCATTCGTTCTTATAAGTTATAATTTATCTTGTAAACTTTTAAATTACACTATTCACCCCACCTCCCTCTAGTGTTTATTGTGTGCTTTCGCAAATCCTACACTTGGTATCACAACAAGGAAAACAATGATGACTAATACATCACAGTTCAAAGAAGGTCATTCTACACAACGACCACCGCTATTTGATAGTACAAATTACAACTAGTAGAAATCACGAATGAAGATATACCTCCAATTACTTGGCTATGATCTTTGGAACATTGTTGAGACTGAATTCACAACGTCAACCACTCCATACACCAAATGGACACTTGCTCAAAGGACAAATGTGAATCTAGACTCTAAGATAATGAAGGCGCTATTTTGTGCCATGGACAAGAATGAGTTCAATCGCGTGTCTACCTATACATCTGCATATCAGATTTGGCATAGTTTTGAGGTAACACATGAAGGAACTAACAAGGTTAAAGTGTCAAAAAATTTTGTTCTTGTCCACAGGTTTGAACTATTCAAGATGAGCGACAAGGAGACCATTACAGAAATGTTTACAAGCTTTACAGATATCACAAACTCCTTGATTGCACTAGGGAAAGTCTACACTCAAGTTCAACAACTTCAAGAAGAAGAAGAAGAAGGCTATAGCTGTGACTTAGGATGATACCGATAATTCATCATCTGATAATGAAGAAGAAGAAAAAGAAGAATCTACACATATGTGCTTCATGGCACACGAAAATGAAGACATTGAATCTTTAGATAATGAAGAATTATTAGAAGCATTCAATAAACTTTATATTAAATTTAAGGATTTAAATATTAATTATAAATTTTGAAAAATGAAAATGAGATATTAATGTGATGTCTCAGGGTTCACACAAGGCTGCAGTCTAATGTGAAACCCGTATTGTCAAACCTACCAATCACTAACACCATGCTATGACATGTTTTATCATAATAATCACTATCTCTCTAGTAGAGTCAACAAATAGGTGAAGGTACAAAACAGGAAAATAATGGAAATAGTTAAAGAATAGAATATGCACAGAAGTAGTATAAGAATGATCAACACATGAGACCAACTAACTTAGTATAAAAATATCTCTGATCTGTAATAAATGCACCAAGTCACATAATCAAGAGTCAAAAAAAAAATCTCTCTAAGGCGCACTGCCTCTATAAAATAAAAATATAATCTCTAGAGTCTGAAAATGAACAACTACTGTGGAGCTTTGTAAATATCTACTAATAAAATAAATAAGATCGATGCTAAGATACGACTCCATCAACCCTGCGACACTCTGTACGCTTGACTCATCACCTGAAAAGAGGGGAAACAACGAGCGTCAAGCGCTAGTGAGATCATCTCTACCACCCCCAAGGGGAAGGGGTAGTAGTATATATGAAAATACTGGTTAGTACATATAAGTATAAAGTTATCAATACTGTGCTAAATGAAAATTGATATTTAGAGATTCATAACATGAGAATGGATACATCAAGCGAAATAATCCAAACAAGGAAACCCTCATGTATATACCTCATATCCCAAATTGTGAATCACTAAATATCAATCCCAACTAAGAATAAAAATGTAAGTGAAATTAGTAACTAGAAATCTACAACTCGAGACTAGTGCCTTAAGCGAAATAATCCAAACAAGGAAACCCTTATGTATATACCATATATCTCGAGCTATGAATCACTAACTACTAACTTCAAACCTATATATGAACAATCATCACAAACAAAAATATTACAGCTTCTACCCTCAATCATAACGGAACAATTTATCATAACCTCAGACTACCCTCAGGTAGTTGGCACCATCATAAGGAAATATTATCCAACTCAAACATTACAAAATACCATGTCATGTATGTCATATATCCAATGTATACCCTACTCATGGGTAAAATATGTAAAATCATACTACAACTGTATATATGTATGCATCTCTTTTTACAATAGTGATACTCTTGTAAGGTTCTTACTCAATCGCTTTGCGGTAATAGGTTTTATCTTCCTATTCTGGCTACATAAAATAACGATACTCTTGTAAGGTTCACACAATAACATGTTGGTTCAACTTCCTTACTCAATCGTTCTACAACGATAGGCTTTATCTCCCTATTCCGGATATGCTTCTAGATGATCGTACAATGGTGAATAGGCATATCAGCCCAACCCGAAAAAATACACCGACCACCTTCGAGTATTTAGTACCACCGAGGTCTCATTATAAGAAAAACAACCAAATACTCCTAGTGTAGTACAACCAAGGTCTCATTATGGGATAAATAAGCACACTGAGCATCCATAACTGATGAGCAATACTTTATCATATGTTAATTCACTTTCATCAACTCAACATGTGTTAAGTATATCGATAATGCATGTCAACACACATAAACTAAGTGTACGTGCACATATGTCATTGTGTGTGTCAATATCTGGTGTTCACCAACATTCCATATGTTAAACAACTCATAAGTTTCATAATACAACACAACAAGGTCGAGAAAATTCCCCAAAATCAGAAATCAGGTGGGAAAACATACACTGGCATATATCAGCCTGGCAGTAGACTGCAATATAGCGATGGTCAATCACATCATGTTTCAGAGGCTACCCTAG